ATCTTATGTAGTTATTATTTTCTATAGAATAATTTTTTAATTTATATATTAATGTATTACCGCGCGGACACGGTGGTCGTGGAGGTAGGTCCACTCCGACTCCAATTACTTCATATTCTTCTCCAGATCCTATAGATACAGATACACGTGGGTGAGAGTCGATCGTAAGAGACTGGTTTAATAAATCGGCTACTGCTTCCTCAACAGGTCGCTTCACTGGCTCTTTATACACTGTAACATTGATAAACAATATGATATCATTGTGTTTATATTCACAAACACACTGAATAAAAATTATAAATGTAATGATTGGAGATCATTAATATATCCGCTTACACCAGATATCTGCAAGTTTGCTGAATGCCTCCATTGTTGTTTCATAAGGACGATTGTGTAAGTTTTTTACGAACTTCCACACATAATCGGAAGTGTGTTCTTGAAACAGATCTAATTCAGCAAAAGATTTCTTCAAGACAGTTTCAACTTCATCCATCACCAGATATAAATTCTTATCCGAGCGTGATTTTACAAATTTGATAAATCCTTTTAACGAATTAATGAAACTTTCAGCGTTAGCCAGCTGAAAGAAGGCAACATAGGTGGTACCATCCCTCTGCATAAATATGAGCTGCTGTCCGCCGTGATTCACGCGAAATGACTTTAGATCAGAAAACAATATTTTAACGGTCCTCGTACGTCCAAGAGAGTCTGGACCCTCCGAGTTCGTGCGAGTCCTCCTCGTATGAGTATCCACTAGGGACCATTCTGGATCTTGATCTTGGCATTCTGATACCACGGAATCTTCTACAGGTTTCCATTCTATGCACTTGCCGAAACTCTGCGATGCAAAAATAACAAGCCCCTTACAATAAGTCTCCGTATAAGCATAATATTAATTCAATAACAGAATCTTACATATTCCACAATATTAAGCGTTCCTGAACTGTGAACCTCATCTTCTCTGGCATTCGCCCCACGAAGCACAACGCCCGTATGGATGCAGAGATCCTATCAACAGAATTAATGAAGAGTCAACAATTCGCAGAAGATAACATACTTTCCAACAAAGGCACAGATAACACAGTAAATCATTCATTGCTTTCTATTTACAAAATTCTGATAATTTTCATTTGCATCATCATAACTCAGTTAAATGTATGTTCCTTTTTATTCTGAGAAGTAAGAGTCAATTTTAGCTTTTACTTATAATCTGCACAAGTTGGAGACCATGCGCTTTACTAACTTTTGTTAATTCATGTTAAAAGTGATTTATATCATGCGATAACTTTGTTACCAAAGCAAATAGTGATGTCATTATCCGAGTATAAAAGATATAATTTTAAAATGACTCTATATGATCAATAATACTGTCAGTATTAACAAATACTGATAATATAACTGATTGTGTGTCATTAATATTGATGAATTGACGTAGAATATTAACAATGATGATCTAGATTTTGACTCTCAAGCATTAATATCACTTTATTAAGATGTCACAATACAATAGAATATAGATAACGTAAGTAAAACTAAAATGAAATATACTATCAATAATATTGATCGTGTAAAGTTATAAAAATATGTGTACTATCAGTATTACAGATCAGTATTATTGACTGTGTAGTCACCTTTAACTCAGTATCACTTGTGTAAAATGAAAAGCAACTATTACATCCTTAGTGTTTGCCAATGTTAAACAAAGATGGAATGATCACTGTGTTACACTATATCTCTCGCTGGAAAGCCCCAAGTATAACTACATCTCTAAA